CTTGAAGTTATTAAAGCCATATAGAATGAACTAATAGAATAATCAGTTTTCTTGTATTCATTGTAACTCGCCTAATGACCATATGTACAATTTTGTACTGTTATTACCTAATTAAGCTTAAGTTAGACTTAAGTTTGCCCGAGATGCTCTGCATATAAAGGGGCTTTTGACAAGTACACCCAATTGTTATACTCCCTTGTACAAACATGTATCATGCTAAAATAAGTTATTATTATTATTATAATTTATTATTATTATTATTATTATTATTATTATATTATTATTATTATTATTATGTATGTGTCCTGCCTCCACTACATCACTCTCCATATTGTTCCACTTTCTGACAACTCTATGGCTGAAGAAATACTTCCTAAATCTGTCTCATGTCCCACCATTATTGTACAAGCCAGCGGCCCATGTCCTTTCGCATGCTATTTCATTACTTTTTAACAAGTCACTAGAAACTAGCACCTTCCCGAAACTACTCAAGATGGCAAGGGTTACACCAATACATAAAGGTGGTGACCCTACAGATGTAAACAACTATAGGCCAATATCAAACTTACCATTGCTATCCAAAATCTTCGAGAAACTCGTGCACAGGAGACTATATTCATTTATAACGGCACAAAACATACTCAACCCCTGCCAGTTTGGATTCAGGAAAAATAAAAGTACTAATGATGCAATTATAAAAATGCTAGATCTGCTTTACACAGCATTGGAACATAAGGAATATCCGCTACGAATTTTTATTGACCAAAGAAAAGCTTTTGACACAGTAGACCACGGCATCCTACTCCATAAACTTGACCATTATGGTATAAGAGGCCATGCGCTTGCATATTTCAAATCCTACCTTACTAATAGGTAACAGTATGTCACCATTAAAGACACAGTATCATCAACACGGCCACTTGATACTGGAGTTCCGCAGGGAAGTGTCCTTGGTCCCCTGCTCTTCCTCATTTACATCAATGATCTTCCAAACGTATCCCAACACCTGAAACCCATTCTCTTTGCTGACGACACGACCTACGTCATCTCTCACCCTAATCTTGCCACCCTCAACACCATTGTTAACGAGGAGCTGCTCAAAATATCGACTTGGATGACAGCCAATAAACTTACACTTAACACTGACAAAACCTACTATACTGTATTATGTTTGGTAGCAGAGCAGGTGTTGCGCAACTTAACATTAAGATCGACAACACTCTAATTGCCAGACATAATGAGGGGAAATTCCTAGGCCTATATCTCGACAACAACCTGAATTTCAGCACCCATATCCGACACATAACAAAAAAAGTATCCAAAACAGTTGGGATCCTCTCCAAGATACGATACTACGTTCCGCAAAATGCCCTTCTCACACTATACCATTCACCCATTTATTCATACCTCACCTATGCTATTTGTGCTTGGGGATCAACTGCAGCAACACACCTAAAGCCAATAATAACCCAACAAAAAGCCGCAGTAAGAATAATCACTAAATCCCATCCCTGGCAACACCCCTCCCCCACTCTTCATAGATCTAAACTTACTCCCTGTTCAGAACATCCACACTTGCTACTGTGCAATCTACATCTACAGGACCTTAAATTCCAATATTAACCATGACCTAAAATACTTTCTTGATAGTTGTGACAGGACCCACAGGCATAACACCAGACACAAACATCTCTACGACATTCCCCGTGTCCGACTAAACCTTTACAAAAATTCAATTTATGTCAAAGGCCCTAAAATCTGGAACACACTACCTGAAAACTCTAGAACTGCAGACACGCTCATCATCTTCAAAACTACCGTTAGAAAACATCTTATCTCCCTGATACACCCCGTCAATTAACTACATAAAAACCACATGGTGGTTCACGCTTACACTCACTCACTCACCCATTTGACTATAAGCACAGAAATACGAATCTTAATTTTAAAATAATGATTCCTAACTAGTCATAAGTTTGCCTGTGATACTCCAATATAGAAACTATGTATTGTGCCAAAACAAAAGCATTCACATTGCTAAACTCACAAACTAGTATTTAGTCACTTAGTATTTAGTCAACTTGCTCCATAATTTGTAATAATTTAGGGTTAAGAATTAATCTTAAGTTTGCCCGAAATGCCTAGCCATGCTAGGTGTCCTAGTGGCCCCCCTCTGTAATTAGTATTTTATTACATGTAAACCACACAATAACCAAAATCTGAAAACCCCGCACTATAATCCTTATAGAGAATAAACTTGATTAATTGATTGGTTGATTGATAAAATCCCTGTGACTCATATGAGTTTTCAGTTTCCAGTTGTGTCCCTTTGTTGCTGTGTCCTATCTCTGAAACATCCTGTCCCTGTCCACCCAGATGGATTATTGTCACACCTTCAGTCACTACATGCTGCAATGTGATAAAATTAATGAATTCAGAGATAACTCATTCAGAAATGTCAACGTATTTTATCCACAGTGGTATATTACAAACCATTCTGGAAAAATACCCTCACTTTGGTCTTGGTAAACAAAGCATTTACCAGTATGTGTTAGTTAGTAGCTGTCAAAGGTACTTGTCGATAAACACCTGGCCTTTTTTTTTTGTGTGTACTCAGTTGTGGTTGCAGGGGTCGAGTCACAGCTGTGTGTGTATGCCTGGATAGGGTTTCGGGGATCAGTGCCCCTACGGCCCAGTCTGAGACCAGGCATCGTAGTAGATTAGGGTCTAATCAACCAGGCTGTTACTGCTGGCTACACGCAAACTGACGTACGAACCACAGTCCTGCTGGCCAGGTACTGACTTTAGGTGCCTGCTCAGCGCCTTCTTGAAGAGTCTATTGGTAATCCCCCTTTTGTATGCTGGGAGGCAGCTGAATAGTCTTGGGCCCCTGACACTTAGTGTTGTCTCTCAGTGTACTCGTGGAGCCCCTGCTTTTCACTGGGGGAATGTTGCATCTCCTGCCGAGTATTTTACTTTCATAGGGAGTGATTTTCGTGTGCAAGTTTGGTACCAATTCCTCTAGGATTTTCCAAGTGTATATTATCATGTATCTTTCTCGCCTGCGTTCCAGGGAATACAAATCAAGGGACTTTAACTGTTCCCTACTAGTAATTTAGGTGCTTTATCGTACTTATGTGTGCCGTGAAAGTTCTTTGTACACTCTCCAGGTCAGTAATTTCGCCTGTGTGTGTGTATGAGTGCGTGATCAAATTAATGTCCGCACAAATAACTTATTACGATTGTGACAGGATATAAACACGTAAATAATTCATTACCATTGTAACTTTCCCAGCTATCAAAACTCTGTGGCCCAGTCCCTGGACCCATTATGTACCGCTGTAAAGATGTTAATTAAACTCTCTCTATTCACCTAATTGTGGTTGCAGTAGATTCACAGGGCCTGGCCTCACCTCTCCGCTTGTCGCTAGTAGGTGCACTCTCTCCCTGCTCCATGAGCTTTGTCATACCTGCCTCCACTACATCACTCCAGACTGTTCCACTTCCTGACAACTCTATGACTGAAGAAATACTTCCTAACATCACTGTGACTTCTGAGTCTTCAGCTTCCAATTGTGTCTCCTTGTTGCTGTGTTCCATCTCTGGAACATCCTGTCTCCGTCCACCTTGCCAATTCCTCTCAGTATTTAATATGTGGTTATCATGTCCCCTCTATCCCTCCGGTTCTCCAATGTCGCCAGGTCGATTTCCTTTAACTTCTCCTTGTAGGACATGCTCTTTAACTCCGGGACTAGTCTCATTGCAAATCTTTGCCCTTTCTCAAATTTACTGATGTGCTCGACCAGGTGTGGGTTCCAAACTGGTGCTGCATACTCCAATATAGGCCTCATGTACAGGGCCCTGAACGATTCCTTATTGAGATGTCGGAATGCTATTCTTAGGTTTGTTAGGTGCCCATATGCTGCAGCAGTTATTTAGTTAATGTGTGTGTTGTGTGTGTACTCACCTATTTGTGGTTGCTGGGGTCGATTCATAGCTCCTGGCCCCGCCTCTTCACTGGTTGCTACTAGGTCCTCTCTCTCCCCGCTCCATGAGCTTTATCAAACCTCACCTTAAAACTATGTATGGTTCCTGCCTCGACTACGTCACTAGGTTATTCCACGGCCTGACAACTCTATGACTGAAGAAATACTTCCTAACTTCCCGTTGACTCATCTGAGTCTTCAGCTTCCAATTATGACCTCTTGTTTCCGTGTCTCATCTCTGGAGCATCCTGTCTTTGTCCACCTTGTCTGTTCTGCGCAGTATTTCATGTCATTATCATGTCTTCCCTGTGTGTGTGTACTCACTTATGTGTGGTTGCAGGGTAGAGTTACAGCTTCTGCAAAATACGTAATTTTTCACGACGACCGAATCAGCATATCATCCATAAGCCATATTTTGTATTAATTAATACACAGGAAAGCGTGAACTAAGTCAATAGAATTTTCGATTAAGTAGGCATATTTTTCTTTGAAAGAGTTAACGGAAACATTACAAAGAAAGAAGGTGACGTAACGTATACATTTTATTACGCAATTGATATGTGGTTATTTCTAACTGATATAGTTATTATTTGTGTAACTTGTTGCTCATCTCTGCAGAGAGGTGTTGTAAAGTGCACAGTGATAAGGAACAAAATGATGAACTGTATGCATACCTGATTGGCTAATATTAACAATAATTAAAAGAAAGTAAAAATTTAGCTTTTCCCATTTAGCACACAACTTTTTATATGCATTGCTGATATATCAGAATAAATAGGTATTCATAGCTAACACTGAAAATGACTGGAAGTAATTCTTCGGAAATGACACATGAACGCGGTCATCTTAAGGCTCATACGACAGCTTTCCTTATATCAAAATATTATTCTTACTTACGTACTAAAGAGTTCAACATTTTTAAGATTTATTATTAATTTAAATTAATAAAAGGCTAGGTTAGGGTGTTAATTAATTTTAATAATAAATAATCGAGTCTTTTATTGGTTGTTTAGGCAGTGACGTCATACTCATATGAAAGACTTGAGGAGTGGAACAGCAGTAACTATGGCTCTCTCTGCTGATACTCTCGCTCTACCTCTCAAAAAAGCTTCTGACATTGACATCTTGAAACCTCTGAAGAACCTGATACTGTCTCGCTACCAGACGGCGGAGCAAGAGAGCTACGTGGGTGCTGTAAACGAGCTTGTTAAGCTGAGGTTGAGTGCGGTGTGTAGGACTTTAGACTACCATGAATCATCCCTCGAGACTTTGTACAGGTATCATTATCTTTAACATCTCTTGGTATTAATTCCCACTTCATCATTACTTTTTTCTCTGTATAGCATAGGATATTTGTTTTGCCCAACAGTCATGTATATCAAAAGTCAAGTCATGAGAGTTGTGTAGGGCTGCTCGTATTTATGACCTGAAACTATAAAACACAACCTTAATGCGTTATTTTCCTTATACTATGTCTTCTAGACTTTGAAATGTAGTTCTGACTGAGTCTAGCCATGACCAAGAGGGCTGTAATGAAATTCATAGCTACTTTACTATTTTTAACCATTAATTATAGTCTGAGTTGTACAATATTTTGCTTTACAGTTGAGATATTATATGCACTGTAAAAAACTTAACCTAAACAAAACCCGTCTAAAAGATCATAAAGTAACTTAGCCTTCCTCTGCCATCATTGCTAACACACCATTGTTAACATTTGGTCAGGTTCATGACAGCTCAGTACTAAGTACTGATTGGCCCAGACAGGCTCCGCAACTAAATAAATGTACTATTTGTTAATTACTCCCAAAATAATTTCCGTAAGAGATATGTACTTATTCCTTGGTGTACTTAGGTTATATTTGTCTTGAGGCCTGGTCTCAGACTGAGCCGCAGGGGTGTTGACCCCTGAAACCCTCTCCAGGTAATGTGTCAAATTAATGGCCAAGTTCCTCTTGAGTAATACAGTCATAAACCTTAACCATATTATTTTACACTCACATACATAACACGGTAGGTTATAGGTTTATAGACTATTGCTAATCTATAGATTATTGCTGATCTGTGTCTTGAACACTTGAGATGGCAGATAAATCTTGCCTTTACTTTCCTATATTTTTTTAAAAATATTCTTAATCCTGTAATATTTCTTTTCTAACCTAGGAGGCCTGGTCTAAGATCATGCTGTAGAAAAAATACTCCCCAGAGCCACTAACAGATAAGATATATATTGTATGATATTGGAAGCAAGAAATATAAAGATTAAATTAAAATTGCTGGAGAGTTTTCCTTACTTGTTTTCATAGGTACTATGACCAAATTGTTGCCCTGGAGTCCAAGATTCCTGCAGCAGAGATTCAGATACCATTCAAATGGAAAGATGCATTTGACAGAGGCTCCATTTTTGGTGGTCGTATAAGCTTGAGTAAGTTGAATGTTCTTTTTAAGGCCTACTGCAATGTTCCTTCCTTTCTTATGTTCTTTAAATTGTTAATACAGTGACTGTTCTATTAACCAACATGCCCTTATGTGTACAGGATGCTAAACTGTCAACCAGAGCTCTTCAGGTACTGTAATAGAATTGTCAACTACTAGGTTAGGGTATTAAAAACTAGAGAAAATAGTCATAAATAATAACTTACCAAATATTATAAATATTCATAAAGTGTACATGTTGTAGCTATACTTGAATGCCAGCTAATGCTGCCCCCTGATTAAACTACAGAAATTATGTTCATGTAAATATATATTGTAAATGCTGAGCCCACTAAACTAAAACATTTTTTAATGATTATAACATATTGATCATTTGAAGTTAGTAATTCACTACAAAATAAATTTTTGTAATTGTATAATTGTAATCTTTGTGTGTGTTAGTGCATTTTAGTCAGGTACACATCTAAGATACAAAGTTTTGTCAGTGTTGCCTACATTGAGTTAATTTTATACATTGACAGGCAGGCCCTGCTTTACAGCATTTGTTAATACAATGGTTTTTATTTATCCCTTTCTTCATTTTTTTTAACTTCTTACAACAAGTATATTCCCAAAACCCCAAGGAAAAAATTTTTTTAAAGGTAAGTAATGTTGTGTCTGTTAGCATTTTATTAGGCCTGGTCATGGACCAGGCATTGACCCCCGGGAATAACCTCAAATGGTAGTGTTCAAGAATTAAAAAAAAAAAAATTCTTATAAAAAGGGATAATCTTTTTTTAAGGCAAAAAACAAAAAGTATGAAATTTTATGAAAATTAACGAAATTATCTCAGAAATCGAATGACACATTGCAAACAAAACCCTTTCCAGGGGGGGATTTAACCCCGCGGTCAGGGTTTTCAAAATCCAGACCCTCCGTTAGCCACTGGACCAGCTAACCACAATAAATTCTCCAACTGGAAAAATTTTTTTCAAACCCTAGGAAGGTTACTAGGCACCCCTGGACCACAAAAAGCAAATTTTTACGACGAATCTCCCGCTAGGTGGCCTTGACGAACTCTACTAAAACCCCAAAAGCCGCAACTGGCTCACAAATCGTAATGCAAAAAAGATTCAACAAAACCCAAAAGTTCGTCCGGCCACGCGCTGGGGATTTGCTGTAAATCTTGCATTTGGGTCACGGGTGCTATCTAACCTTCCTAGGTGTAGAAAATACCTAGTTGGACGAATCTTATTGTCTAGCTGGGCCAGTGGCTAAAGCCCGGTCTGGATTTTGGACCCGACTGCAGGTTTTAAACCCCCCTTGGGTTTTTTTTTTTTTTTTTTAAAGAAATTATTTTGCGAATTTTTTCGTGTCAACGATATTTCCATTTATGAATTTTGCCCCCTTCAAGTCCTATTTAGGGCCCAATTTTCATTGTTCCGTTGACCAAATTCTTAGCACTTTGCAGTATCATTCCATTTTTTCAATTGAGACAAAAAATTTTCCAATCCATTATTTCAACTACCCAAAAAAAAAAAGATCAGAAATTGGGTATTTTTTCCCAATTCATCATTTTAAAATCTTCAATTTCAAAAATGGGTTTAGAATAAACAATCAGGGATTCCTGAAAATGTAAAAACATTCCTCTTTAATTTTACATTTCCATGCTTTAAAAAACACGAATTCCCTTTTTATTTAATTAAACCAATTTTTATTCACACACAAAAAAAGAAAATTTACAGTTATGCGTATTGTAATAATTGTATAGATAAAACAGTGGATTTATGAACGCATGGTAGACTCGCCAGTTGCGTTTTTGGAAGGACGTATTTGTTAAAACTCGAACATCAGCAAAACTCAAACATTTTTGTAATTTGAAACTCTTTTTTATTTCTGTAATGAAAAATTTTATTCAATCAAAAATAGACCAAAAATAGGAATACAACCCTAAAATCCCTCAAAAATACACGCAGATTTGCTTGTTGCAGCTGTTGCGGTTGCATTTTTTTCTCATGCCCACCACATTTAACCAAATTTCTCCACTCCTTTCTTTTGGGGAGGTTGGGGCATCGGTCGTGCGGCCTGGGAACTCAAAAACCCCCATACCCATGGCAAAGTTATACCCCAAAAAAAAAAGTGTTTAAACTTTTAAAAAACTGGAGTGGTAAAAAAAAGAAAATTTTTTTACCCCCTTTTTCGGCCCATCCCCCAACTGCTATATAATGGGGCCCTCCTGAAAAATAAAAAAATGTTTAAACAACCCTAGCAAACAGGGAAAAAATTTGTATGAAAAAAGGTTTCCACTGCTTTAGAAGTTAAAAAAGTTACTAGATACCCACTAGCTGTTTGGAAAGGTAAGTAAAGGTTTATTTGGACTTTTGACTTTTATCTTGGTAATTTAATACCCCGTGTTTTTAAACTACTTTTTGAATTTGCTAACAATTAGTTCATTGACATTTCTTAAAGATCTGTTAGCTACCTGATGTGCCACATTCTATTTTAGAGTTAATCATGAGTCTGACTCAACATGGGTTGGATTGCACCCAGAATGCCACATCACTAAGTAAGCAGAGCTCTTAATTTATATAAAATGTTAATTTGTTCTGAATTTTCTAGCTTGCAGAGAAAGAACCATAAGTCAGTCCCTACCTGTAGATGTAAAGCTTGGACTAGATCCTGTAAGAGTTATTGTACCCAGTATGATTGTTTCCTATCTCTGGTGCTTTGCTCTTATAGTATCCTACTTAAGGTTTCATTTGCTTCTAGAAATTTTTAGTTATTGTGGTGGTTGAGTTCTTATGGTGAATCATAGAATCTGAACACAGGATGCAACTTTTGAAGAGTGAAAAAAACTATTTTCTGTGAAGGATTCCAAAGTCACTGATTATCACCTCCCATTGCCAGCTGTTCCTAAGCAAATTTACTGAGTGGGACTAAAAGCCTGTAGTGTCTGATGACAGAGGAAGTGCTAGTGTTCCTTTGCACAAGTGAACATAGTTTGAGCCAGTTACTGGTGTTGGAGGTTAAACAGGGAAGGGAAAGGGGTCACATAACCATTCATATAAAGTATTTATCAATTCTTCTAAATGTTATATACTGCAGTGCTTTTCAACTGGGGTGAAAAACACTGGCCCAGCTCATGAATGTGTTCCTAAGGGCAATCCACTCGGTAAAGTGCAGAAAAGTGCTGATACAGTGTGTAGTTGGTTAATTTATTTGGTACAGATTGATAGAGAGATGTGAATTTTCTCTTCATATTTTATAATGCTGAAATCATTTTTTCTACTTATAGATCAAAATTTCCAATAAATGATACAAATCTATTGTACTTATGATGTATCAGATTAATTATCAGATAGAATTAGCTGTATTTTAGATTTTCTAAACATCCTTGTCCCTTGCGTAAAGGTTAATAGTATACACTGTAGTGAATGGAAATAGTATATTAATTATTATGTATATTATTGAACATTGGATATTTGTTTTGTATTAAGAAATTACTGTAGAAGCTTTTTAATTTTATATTTAAATTTTTCAACTAAATATCATGAACAAAAGAATAAATTTTAGTTAGTGTTGTAATGTTAATTTTGTTTTTTTCAAGCCGTGGCATCATTATCATATGAGAAAGTGTGTGTCCTATACAACATTGCTGCCCTTCAAAGTCAGGTAGCTGCAGCACAAAACTATGACTCTGATGAGGCTCTCAAATTGGCTGCTAAGCTTTTTCAGGTATGTTACCAATTTGAGATGTATTTCAGTTTCTCACTTACCATGCAGACTGTAATTGGTAATGAAAACTTGAATATTTTTCCTTTATGTAATTCACTGATATGTCTGTGCTTATTTTGATGAATGATAATGCTTTCAGAGTGCAGCAGGAATTTTAACTCATTTGAAAGGGATTGTCCATTCCTCTGTTCAACAAGAACCAACTCCAGATCTTCAACCAGATACCCTGGCTGCCCTGGCTGACCTGTGTGTGGCTCAAGCTCAAGAAGTCATTGCTATCAAAGCTATCAAAGGTAAGAGTGAAAGTAATGTCTCCCCTTTTATGTGGGTACTAGGTGTGGGCTTTAACCCTTTCACTGTCTCTTGCATAGTTATATGTTATTGATGCCATTGTTGCTCATGTAGATCTACATTTTAAGCACAGCACCCTCAGATATGCTGAGGGGTTAATTTTGACCTAAATAATGAGAGAATGGGTCTGGTGTATAGGATAAAAATCCTACCCTACATGGTGCATGATGGGAAAAGCAATGCTCTGGCTTTATGCTTGATTTACAACAGAAACTTTAGAGGTTTTATTGGTTTCTGGGTACCAGTTGATAGATTGGAATACATACTACTGAAATGGAAATGATTTTGGCTGGTTTTGGGACTGGAAGTAGCTTCCAGTAGGGCTCAAGTAGCCAAAAATATTATGTTCATTTTCCCTAAAGGTTTGATCTCCCTACTCCATTCTGGTCTGTTTTATGGGATTTTACTAAGTCTGCTTCAATTATTGGTATGCCCTAAACCATGTCCACTTGTTCTTGGTTATATTTTATCTGAAAATGGGATAAAACTTCTATTTTGTGTGATGAATTCAAAATGGATGGAAAGTGTAATATAGGATAGGAGAGGCCTTGGGGTGGGATTAATGAATGGAGGATAATCTGCTTTAGTTGCTGGAGTGCATACAATGTTTATTTTGGACTCTGTTTTTTAAATTGGAATTTGTTGAATTTTATGTAAAATTGGCCATATTACTAACTTCTGTGCACTTGTGATAGTTGATGAGTGATTTCTTGTACTCAAGGGAAGGAAGACATAATAGCAGAATAGTTGAGAATTTGGTCAAATTGAGGAGTGGAATAGGCTTAAAATACTATTTCAGTTTTTTTTTTTATCCCAACATTATCAGCACTTAATTTCAGGAATCCCAAACAGTGAAAAACTTAAGAATTGCTGTCATTAAATTTCAGTTTTGGGGATCAGCTCCTCTGCAATCAGGAGGTGTCATGTTAGAAAACAGTGTGATATGAATATTTATTCAAAGAATTCAGTGTGTAGAAGTTAGAAGGTATAATTCAGAGGTCAAAAGACAGGTTGTTTAGGTAATTTGACCATCTAATTTGAATAGAGCAAATTAGGATGCCCACAAGGGTGTATAAATTTGGTGTGGAAGAAATGAGGGTGGGGGTTGTCCCAAGAAGAGTTGGAGGTTACAAAAAGTATTATCCAGAGGATGCTGAGAAGGGTTAAGGTGCTTTGGACATTTAGAGAGGATGGAGCAAAACAGAAGACTTGGAGTGTATAACTCTGTAGTAGATGGAAGGCAGGGAAGGGGTTGCCCTAAAAGAGGTACAAGGGAGGGGAGGTAAAGGAGGTTGTGTGTGTGAGGCACTTGGACATCCAGCAAGTGTGTGTGAGCGTGTTAGGTAAGAGTGAAGGGAGGCAAAGGATTTTTGGGACTTGAGCTGTTGGAGAGTGAGCAAGGTAACATTTTGTGAAGGGATTCAGGGAAACTGGTTAACCAGAGTTGAGTCCTGGATGTGGGAAGTACAGAGCCTGCACTCTGAAGGAGGGATGGGGTTATTTGCAGCTTGGAGGGTCATCTGAACTGTGATGTTGGTGCCTATCTGGCAAGACAGTAATTGAATGAGTGACAGTGAAAGTGGGTTGTTTGTCAGGTTATCCTACTTTGATGGTTGACTGCTGATGTGTTAAAAAATATTTTCATTCACTTATACCTTAGGGAAGATGATGATACACACTAAATGTTTTTCTTTAAATATTCATTAAATCAGGGTTATCTAATGCATAAGTGCATCTTATATGACAAGAAATATGGCAAGTCTTAATCGCTCGCTTCACACATGCAACAAGATATTTTTTTTTTTTAGCTGTTTTTTGATGTGCAAAATTATTTTTCCAGACCGAATGAAGGATGCAGTGGTGGCAAAACTTTGTTCACAGTGTGAAGAGATGTTTGGAGATGCTCTTAAGCATCTCCAGAAAGAGACCCTAAAAACTCTCTGGGATCGGGATTGGCTATCAAATGTTGCTGGCAAGCAAGCAGGATATCATGCTCTTGCTGAGTATCATCAGAGCAGGGTAAATTTTTTCAGAAAATGTCATTTATAGGATATGCATTTTTATTGCCTGGGCTTAGCTGAATCAGTTTTCATCTGTCCATAAAATTTGTTATTAATATTATTCAGTTGAAAATGTGAACCAGCATATATTATCCTAGCAAGAAGTGGAGAGGAGGAGGGATACTGATAGGGTAAGTGTCAGTTTATAATCATAAATTAATACTGTACAGTATTATGTAATCCTCAACCCAGTGTTCAGTAGGTTTTATGAAGTTTTGCTAGAGATCTTTTTATGAAAGTTTGAAGTTTTCCCAATTTAATAGTTTTTGAGGTGTAATTTAATATGGGGATATGGAACTTCATCCCTAAATTTTCTTCGTGTAGGTTGCAGAATAGCTTACATAAATTTTTAAGTTTTGTGAAAATAATTTTTTGCTTAATGGAATTAACATGAATATCCTGGCAAAAAGAAACAATATATTAAATATGACAATTTGTAGCAAAAAAAAAAAAATAAAAAAATTCATAATTTCTTTTATACAGGTGTGTAATAGCAACAAGACTGTGGGTGAAGAGATTGCTCGCTTGAGGCATGCCATAGAATTATTTAAGGCTGCACAGATACGGTCTGGAGTCTCTTCGCTTTTTGAAGATCATCTTAGTAGAGCTCAGCGTTCCCTTGATGAGGCTGTGAAGGACAATGATTTCATCTACCACGAGAGAATCCCAGATGTAAGATATATTTTTCTAATTGTAGATTGTCTATAGTTTTGCTTTGCATTACGAAATGATAGAGAATCTTTTTCCAATGGTAATGAAACCATAAGTACGAAATTTGATGGAAAACGTATGGAATTACTCTTGCAAAGTTAGTGGTCTCTGTGATATTTATGCATCAGCGATTTTTGCCCACTTTCTCCTATTTTAGGCCATTTACATTGTTCCAGTAGACCAAATTCTTTCATTTTATCTACTGAGCGCAACATACTGCCTAATCATCAATTTCAACTACCCAATAAAGTGATCAGAAATTGGTAATTTGGCCAATTTCATGCACATTTCAAAATAGGGTCCAGAATAAACATTGCAGGCATTCCTGGTACTAAAATAACATTTCCCCTGTTCATTAGTTATGTTCTCAGGCTTTACAAATAAATTCCATTTTGAATTTTCATTCACACAAAATAAGATTATGCATTATTGTAATAATTGTATAAATAATGTCGGCGCATTCATGAATGCATATTAGATCGACCATTTGGACACATATTGGACGAGTGAGGTGATTTGTTTTCTCTTCAAAAATTGCACATTTCTGCTACTTGGAGCTCAGTTTCAAGCTACTGCCAGAACAGAAACCAATTATCTCTATTTCTGTAATATATCTTCCATTCTGTCAAATGATATCAAGAAAGCGAGAACACGGCCATAAAAACCATCCGAAAATACACTGCAAAGTTATTTTAACCCTTTCAGGATCCAAAGACAAAATCTGAAAGGGTGCCCCCAGTGTCCAAGAAATTTAAAAAAAAAAAAATAATAAAAAAAAAAAAAAAAAAAAAAAAATCACTTACAGAATTAGAGTATATTTTTGTGAAGGTAATAAACCAAAAACAAAAATTTCTGATCAGTACTTACCGAGATATGGTGGCAAGAAGTTGACCCAAAATGACCGGGTGGTGGCAACATCAGCAATTTCCACAAAATCGCATTTCTTTATTTTACGTTTTTTTATTCTTTTTTTCTTGTCTTTTCTAATTTTTTCCTTTTCTAGTAACATTTGTGGCCTGTGAGACCAATACTGTATATAATGTATATACAGTGGACCCCTGGTTAACGATATTTTTTCACTCCAGAAGTATGTTCAGGTGCCAGTACTGACCGAATTTGTTCCCATAAGGAATATTGTGAAGTAGATTAGTCCATTTCAGACCCCCAAACATACACGTGCAAACGCACTTACATAAATACACTTACATAATTGGTCGCATTCGGAGGTGATCGTTATGCGGGGGTCCACTGTATATACACTCACTGTATTGAACACAATAACCACACTAAAGTTATTATATTATTGTTTACACTTTTGTTTACTACAATAAATATGCACAAATGTTTTATAATACTAATGTTCTATTATATATTTACATATGTACAGTCACTGGACATGTTTTTAGAACTGCTGCAGCTTGTGGAAGTCCTTGAAACAAGGTATAATGCACAGAGGTACCTTTCATTCCTCGCACATAAACCGTGTGTCTTTGTTGCCATCGTTTTGTTTGTGCATGGACAGCACATCTCTTCTGAGCAAATTTCTTCTTAGCTGCAGGAAGCTGTATTATGAAGTGATCACCTTCCCTCCTCAAATGCTTGGGTATTTCCTGAGGAGTTCGAGGATGGTTTTGTATAGCAGGTGTTCTTACCTGGTACTTCATTATGAGTTGTCTGACAACAGACAAACAAAATTCACCATACGGTGGTCTGTTGCCAGTCTTCATTTGGTACATATTATATGCATTGAGCATTGAAATGTCCATGAGATGGAAGAAAAGTTTCATGTACCACTCGTAACTCTTACGAACACAATCAACAAAGCCAATCTGCATGTCACATTTATCAACCAAGCGCATGTTTTGTGTATAATCAATCACTGTCACTGGTTTTCGAATACATTCATTAGTCACTATCAACTTTGCCACTGTCTTACATTTCGTTAGGGTGAATGGTTGTCAACAATGACATCTCGTTTGTCATGCCACCGTAATGCCATGATGTCATTGGCAGTAAACACCTGCACCTCGCCACTACAAGTGCCTGCGTTGAACCTGGGTTTATGTTTATGATTAGAACACACTGTGCAACACACGTCATGTTCACTCGCAAGAAATCACCGAGTAAAGGGCTTGTGTACCAGTTATCAGTATATAATGTATGCCCCTTACCAAGATAAGGTGCCATCATGCTTCTCACTACGTCACCTGAGATACCCAATAACATCCTGGTATCTTTCAATGTTTTACTTCCCGTGTATACAATAATATCCAATACCAGGCCACTGTCAGAGTACAAACAGTTTTATACCAAAGCATTTCCTCTTGCTCGGTATATGCTGCTTGAATGACAGCCTACTTTTGAACAAAATTAAAGACTCGTCAATTACAAGATTCTTGAATGGATAAAAGTACATGTTGAATTTTTGTTTCAGATACATAAAAACATTTCTAATCTTGTATAACCTGTCACTTCTGTCAGGCCTGGTTTTGTCAGAGAAGTGCAACATATGTAACAGTAAGATAAACCTGTTCACTGGGATGATTTCACTGAAGGCCGGGGTACAAATTAGCTGATCTGTGGACCAGTATGATTTTATATTATGCTTATAGACATGAGGCATAAGCATTATTGTTGCAAAAAGCAAATACATTTCAGCTACGGTTGTCTCTTTCCACCCGTGTAGTCTTGACTGTGGTGATATGATCGTATTTGCCATGGTGTACTCAAAATACTTGTTACTTACCCTGACAATAGTTTCCATCAAGGGCTGGTCAAAGAATAGTTCAAAGAATTCCAGTTCATTTGCAGTGTTTCCAAGGGGACAAGTTGGTAGAATTCCACTTTGAGAGTCATCAAACTGGTGGGGCTTGGAAACAAAATTGGGATTTTGCTGCCAGTCCCAGATATGGTTTGTTGGTGGATACTGGACATCATAAGCTGGTTGTGGTGGGGTGGTGGCTGACGCTCCGCTTTGTCCTTGAGCTGAGGAGTCAGCGGCATGGGTCCCAGCCTGGGCTGGTGAGTCATGCATGGCCGTGGTACTACCCTCACCACTACCACCACCTACTGATGCCTGTGGTCTATCCATGCCAAGTGTAGCCACATCATCCTCACTTTCACTGTCTATTCCTGGTGTAGGGCCATGGGATGTACTCCATCCCCTGGGCACTGCATAGGGAACACTACCCGAGTGCATGCGGTGGTGTATATACCGATGCTTCACTGGTGAATATGATTCCTCACTATCACTACTCGAATGATCGTCAAGAGCAATAAAATCACAATCCACGCCCCTATAATCATCATTACTGAAGTCTGAGGCCTGGCCACGCGAAAATATTAGTTTTCTCTTGCGATGAGGTACAACTGAACGTGACTGAGACGTGCCCACACCAGAGGTAGAAGGTTGAGGATCGTCAGGATTTTCTGCACTATTTTCGATATCGTGGTCATTCCTTTCGGTCACTAATTGATCAAAGCCATAGAATTCATCTTCATTTCCACTTCCATCAGAGTCGGAACTATCAGATAGGAAAAGGAGAGTCCCAATTCGCCTTGGAGTGAGAGCTGCCTTGCAATGAGGCATGGTGAACAAAGGTAACAGGCGGCGTTCCCACTACGCGGGTGGCTAGAATTTTTGTTTACGGCGCACGCGCACACCATGCAGACCCATTCTCTCACATGTAGGCCTACCAGCCTTCTCGCGCTAAATTTGATGCCGCTAGAATTTTGGCATAGATCTGCGGTTTGGACCCTCAACGTATAGCTGTAGATCTATGGTACAGACCCTCAAAGGGTTAAACCAAAATCACGGTCAGTTTTTTCCCATTATGCACTGCGTGGGGCAGGATGCTTTTTCATATGGTTCACACTTGGTGCATGAACCCATTCTCTCATATTTAGGCCCAAATTTACCACTCGCTGCTTATGAGTGAGTTGAATTCATCACATAGTTCTACAGCATAGACAGAGACTTCAAACCTGTAGTGCTATGACGCATAGTGAAGTGGTTAAATTTATGATACAGTACATTATTCATTTATGCAGATGTTCTGTAACAAGTATGTTTTCTTTTTCAGATAAAAACGCTTGGAGGAATTGGTAAGGCTCCAGTTGCTAAACCAACTCCTATGCCAGAAAAGTTTAGCTCTAGTTTCACAGATCTCTTTGAAACTTTGGTTCCAGTTGGGGTTCAACAAGCTTTGGTAAGCTATGACACTCGAAAGCAGGAAATAGTGACTGCAGAAATTAGTAAACTTCGGGAAAGCACACAACTGCTTAACTCAATTCTGGCATCTCTTAATTTGCCTGCTGCCATTGAAGATGTTGGTGGAGAGAAGGTTCCTCAGTCTGTACGTGATAAATCAGCTGCTGTAGTTGAAGCTGGAGGCTGTGAGGCAAGTAGATGTTTGTTACATTTTAGTCATGTCATATCTGTTAATTTAATATAGGTTTTCCCTTGCTTTATGTGGATTCACTTTATGCAGCTTCACACTTAATGTCATTTTTCTCTTGGGAATTCTGTAAATGTGTTATACTATGCATTCACCATGTGTGATTGAAGTACAGTAGTTGCTATTCAGAATAAAAAAAAATCATGTCATTGACTAAAAGCAACTGTGACAAATCCCACTTTTTATCAAATGCATCGTTTTTCAGTCCCACACTTCTTACCAGCATCGTAGTGTTAAAATACCATGGCGACCTCAAACACCGTGATATCAAACATCCCTATCTAAGGCCTGCTTTTACTGGAAAATAATCCACCCTTTCCTACATAACCTAACCTGAGCCTCACACTGCATAAAACATTCCTTTTAGCTATTCCTTTTAGTAACTTACCATATATTCCATATTTTCAACATCTGCCACATTATTTCCCTATCTATGCTATCATGCCTTTTCTAAATTCATAAATATAACAAAAAGTTCCTTGCCTTTACCTAAGTATTATTCACTTCTATGCTTCAATGTGAACAGTAAGTCTACATATATCTAACCTTCCTAAAACCTACTTGTTCTTCTGCAATCCTACTTTATTAGACTTTTTCTCAATAATACCTCTACCATACACTTTATTCAGTATACTCAGCAGGCTTTTTTTCCTGGTAATCCTGACACACTTAGTCCCTTTTCCCCATATATAAATGAACTATGCACGTTCTCGGCCAGTCCTTGGGTAACTTTTCCCTTTTCATGAGTGTACAGCAATAACTTGCATAGTACAGCTTTGAACAGTACAGGTTTTGATATAATACGGTTTATAAATTTAATAATAGAAATTTTATTTAACGGCATTATGCCCTGTATTGGACTGCTGCTATGTATGTACCAGATTAGCATGTGAACGTCAATGTCGTTCCAGACTCCAAGCCATGAAATTGTGTAGTCTTGTACAGTAAATATGTATACACAGTGTTACTTTATAAAGTACTGGTATCCATTTTATACGCAAATAATAAAGATAAAATATAAAGATATGGAATGGCTGCAGCATCTTGTACAGTAGGGCCCCGCTTATATGGCAGTTTTTTTTTTTTTTTTTTTTTTTTTCACTTATTAATACATATAGGTAGTAGGTTGGTAGACAGCAGCTGCCCAGGAAGGTACTGCCCTCCTGCCAAGCGAGTGTAAAACAGAAACCTGTAATTGTTAAAACAGAAACCTGTAATTATTTTATATGATATAGGATTGCTGGTGTTATTTTTTTTTTCTCATAAATGTGCAAGGTTTCAGGTACATCTTGCTACTTACACTTAGGTCTCACTACACATGCATAATTTTTTTTTTTTTTTCAACAAGCCGGCCGTATCCCACCAAGGCAGGGTGGCCCAAAAAGAAAAACGAAAGTTTCTCTTTTTAAATTTAGTAATTTATACAGGAGAAGGAGTTACTAGGCCCTTGCACACATGAATATGCAAGCATATATATATACACACCCCTCTGGGTTTTCTTCTATTTCCTTATTAGTTCTTGTTTATTTCCTCTTATCTCCATGGGGAAGTGGAACAGAATTCTTCCTCCGTAAGCAATGCATGTTGTTAAGAGGTGACTAAAATGCCGAGAGCAAGGGCCTGTAACCCCTTCTGTATAAATTACTAAATTTAAAAAAAAATTCATTTTTAGGTCGCCTTGCCTCAGTGGGATATGGCCGGTTTGTTGAAAAAACAAAATGCCCATGTATGCCTGATAACATGTTTACAGTATTGTATGTTTAGCTAACAATAGAACTAGGCATTAAACAATAGAAAAGTAAAATACACATACAGTACACTCATTACTTACCTTAAAATATTTGTAGTCTCCCTAGGGAGTAGGTTGGTAGAGCAACCATCCAGGAAAATAATTCCGTCCTGCCAAGCGAGCGTAAAACAAAAGCCTGTAAGTGTTTTACATGATGGTAGGATTGCTGGTGTCTTTCTCTCATAAACATGCAAGATTTCAGGTACATCTTGCTACTTCTACTTACACTTAGGTCACATCATACATGCATGTACAAGCATATATATATACACACACACACACCCCTCTGGGTTTTCTTCTATTTCCTTAATACAGTGGACCCCGCATACCGTTGGCCTTACATAACGTTAAATCCGCATACCGATACATTTTATTGCTAAGATTTTGCCTCGCATACCGCTAAAAAACCCGCTCAATGCTGTTCATCCGAGACGCGTCTAATGTGCGGCCTTAGCCAGCCTCGCATGTTCCGCCGGTGGCATTGTTTACCAGCCAGCCTCCGCGGTAACATCCAAGCATACAATCGGAACATTTCGTATTATTACAGTGTTTTTGGTGATTTTATCTGCAAAATAAGTGACCATGGGCCCCAAGAAAGCTTCTAGTGCCAACCCTACAGGAATAAGGGTGAGAATTACTATAGAGATGAAGAAAGAGATCATTGATAAGTATGAAAGTGGAGTGCGTGTCTCCGAGCTGGCCAGGTTGTATAATAAACCCCAGTCAACCATCACTACTATTGTGGGCAACAAAAAGGCAATCAAGGAAGCTGTTCTTGCCAAAGGTTCAACTGTGTTTTCGAAACAGAGATCGCAAGTGATGGAAGATGTTGAGAGACTCTTATTGGTGTGGATAAATGAAAAACAGATAGCAGGAGATAGCATCTCTCAAGTGATCATAAGTGAAAAGGCTAGGAAGTTGCATCAGGATTTAATTAAAAAAATGCCTGCAACTAGTGATGATGTGAGTGAATTTAAGGCCAGCAAAGGTTGGTTTGAGAGATTTAAGAAGCGTAGTGGCATACATAGTGTGATAAGGCATGGTGAGGCTGCCAGTTCGGACCACAAAGCAGCTGAAAAATATGTGCAGGAATTCAAGGAGTACATAGACAGTGAAGGACTGAAACCTGAACAAGTTTTTTAATTGTGATGAAACAGGCCTGTTTTGGAAGAAAATGCCAAGCAGGACCTACATTACTCAGGAGGAAAAGGCACTCCAGGACATAAGCCTATGAAAGACAGGCTTACTCTGTTGATGTGTTCCAATGCTAGTGGTGATTGCAAAGTGAAGCCTTTATTAGTGTTTCACTCAGAAACTCCCAGAGTGTTCAGGCAAAAGAATATCCTTAAGGCTAATTTGTGTGTGCTGTGGAGGGCAAACAGTAAGGCATGGGTCACTAGGGACTTTTTCTATGACTGGTTACACCATGCATTTGCCCCTAATGTGAAAGATTACCTAACTGAAAAGAAATTAGACCTTAAGTGCCTCCTGGTGTTAGACAATGTCCCTGGTCATCCTATAGATGTGGCAGAGCGACTTTATGGGGACATGAGGTTCATTAAGGTGAAGTTTTTGCCTCCTAATACCACTCCTCTCCTGCAGCCCATGGACCAGCAGGTTATTGCAAACTTCAAAAAACTGTACACAAAAGCTCTGTTTGAAAGGTGCTTTGTAGTGACCTCAGAAACTCAACTGACTCTAAGAGAGTTTTGGAGAGATCACTTTAATATCCTCAATTGTGTAAACCTTATAGGTAAGGCTTGGGAGGGAGTGACTAAGAGGACCTTGAACTCTGCTTGGAAGAAACTGTGGCCAGAATGTGTAGACCAAAGGGGTTTTGAAGGGTTTCAGGCTAACCCTGAGAGGAGTATGCCAGTTGAGGAATCCATTGTGGCATTGGGAAAGTCCTTGGGGTTGGAGGTTAGTGGGGATGATGTAGAAGAGTTGGTGGAGGAGGACAATGAAGAACTAACACTGATGAGCTGCTAGATCAACTTCAACAGCAAGAGGCCAGACCTGAGGAAACTGGTTCGGAGGAGGGGAGAGAGAATTGAAGAAGTTTTCCTATTACAAAGATTAAGGAAATCTGTGCAATGTGGCTGAAAGTGCAAACCTTTATGGATGAAAATCACCCTCACACAGCTATTGCAAGCCGTGCTGGTGACTATTACACTGACAATGTTGTGAAAACACTTTAGGGAAGTCATAAGGAACGAGAGGTACAGGCCACTATGAACAGATATGTTGTGCGACAGAAGTCCAGTGACTCTGAAGCTGGTCCTAGTGGCATTAAAAGAAGAAGGGAAGTAACCCCAGAAAAGGACTTGACACCTCAAGTCTTAATGGAAGGGGATTCCCCTTCTAAACATTAAGACTCTCTCCTCCTCCCATCCCATCAATCATCACCAGATCTTCAATAAAGGTAAGTGTCATGTAATTGTGCATGCCTTTTTCAGTTTGTGTGTATTAAAATTAATATTTCATGTGGTAAAAATGTTTTTTTTTCATACTTTGGGGTGTCTTGCACGGATTAATTTGATTTCCATTATTTCTTATGGGGAAAATTCATTCGCATGACAGATAATTTCGCATAACAATGAGCTCTCATGAACGGATTAATATCGTTATGCGGGGGTCCACTGTAGTTCTTGTTGTTTATTTCCTCTTATCTCCATGGGGAAGTGGAACAGAATTTTTCCTCCGTAAGCCATGAGTGTCGTGAGAGGCGACTAAAATGCTGGGAGTAAGGGGCTATTAACCCCTTCTCCATATACATTACTAAAGTTAAAAAGAGAAACTTTTGGTTTTCTTTTTGGGCCACCCAGCTTCAGTAGGATATGGCTGGTGTGTTGAAAGATTGGAATCTTATGTAGGGTGAGAGGTGAGTAGTGTTTATTAGGAAGTCAGGTGTGGTAGATATTGTAGCTTGCCTGGCTGTGATATACAACATTTAAAGCTCCCCAGAGCAACAAAATGCATTTACAGTGCACTCGTTAGTTTAAAATATTTGTGGTCTTGTGTAGGGCAAGAGGCAAGTAGCATTTATTGTAAGAAGTCATGTGTGGTACCTCCCTCAGCTGCCACACCTACATGAAATGTGTGATGTTTAAAGTGCCCCAGAGCTATAATTATTTTTTATTACCGTCTATATACCTTTTTCACCAAGTTTGATCATTTCTAACTACCCATGGATGCCACCGTAAATGAGAAACAGAGAAGGCAAACAAACAAATGCTTAGGGTTCATACGTGTTCATTCCCACACTTTTGTGAAGCTTTTACCCTACAATACACACACCTTACATTATGTACAAGTTGTCTTCACATTGGTGCAGTAGAATAAATAACAGCAACACCCCCCATTCTCGTGCACACACCATTTTTAGAGTGAATAACAATGAGTGAAGGCATACGAAAGGAATATTTTTCTACAGTTACCCCCAGTAATACTATATTGTACACATTTAAAGAGCAAAATCTAAAATATTTACTGTTCTTGATGATACTGTTGTATCATAGGTTTTATATTCTGGAAACCCAAGGGAGTTGCCATAGTGTTTCTATATTAATGTGGATTTCCATTTTCAGGCACTAAATAAAATGATAACAGAGTTGCCAGACTTATTGACTCGCAATAGGGAACTCCTTGAAGAATGCGAGAGAATGCTAAATGAAGAGAGTGAATCTGACAATCAACTGCGTGCACAGTTCAAAGAAAGGTGGACACGAACACCATCTGACAAGCTCACTGGTACATTCCAAACTAATGCACAGAAATATAGGTACAGTTCTTATTACATGTTAAATTCTCAATTTTTGGTAGTACAGTGAACCCTCTAATCAAGACGAATGGAGAGGGGTATGTTGTCAGTTGTCTGTAGATTCCGAATTATTAAATTAATTTTACAATCATAACATTAATGGACAAAATTATGGATCAGTGGACTTGGTTCAGTGATTCAGAAAATAACCAGACACTAACAACTGGGTATTGTAACCTGTAGTACTACAGTACAGTATTGTATAGTAATTTTATAGTATGTAATTTACAGTAATTTTACTTACCTTTTCATGGTTGGGAGATAAGGGTGAACTGCTGTGATTGATAGAGGTAACTCTCCACTAAACTTATGAAGGCTGCTGCATGCTCAAAAATGGTTAAACCACTTAAATAAAGGTATACTCATTTGCAGACTTTCCTTCCTACTCTCATACACTTTGGTAGTATGATGAGGCTCTCACAGACAGGCCCATCTTTTCTGCTGAATCCAGTCATTTGGCATTTTTTCAGCTTTATTTAGCTTTATTTACTGTTTTTCACTTCTGTGGGTTATAATTTGGGTGACTCATCACATAGGCTCTTTTTCACATTGTCTTGAATTTGCCAAATTGTTGATGCCTTTGTACCATAGACTTGAGTTGCATCCATCACACATTCACCATTTTTGAGCATATTTGTTATCTTTTCACTAGACATAATTTCATGCTTAAACTTCTTGGCACCATCACCAACATTAGATTCCCATTTTGATGCCATGATTAATATCCAGACGAGACACAGGATAATATAAAGATTTGAAAATAGAATGATACAGGAGAGAGTAATCATATGGTATGCATCCATTAGGCAACTGGTGGTGGAATGGGTATACCTGGAGTATACATGGAGGGTATTCCAAGGGTTGAAGCCCCCATGGCCCAGTCCATGACCGGGCCTCGCAATGGATCAGGACCTGATCAACCAAGCTATTACTGAACCACAGCCCTACTGGCCAGGTACTGACTTAGGTGATTGTCCAGCTCCCTCCTGAAGACAGAATGGGGTCTATTGGTAATCCCCCTTATGTATGCTGGGAGGCAGATGAACCTTGCCATTCAGTCAGGTTGTAATGGCTGTGTAGATCTGTTAGTCACAAGCAGCAACAGCCATGTTAATCAGGTAGTCTATAAGAAAGTATGGCTTTAGGCTGGGCTGGTAATGTAAAATGCCTGTCAAAATCAGTCCCATTAGTACTGTATCCTTGAATGCCATAGCTAGGACTTTTTGGACTCTCTTTTTAATCAATCTTTTTAATATTCCTGTTACAGGAAAGTGATAGAAACTGCTGTTTCTGCTGATAGTACTATCCGTGTAAAGTATGACTCTCATAAAGAAGGCATGGAGCTTTTGTCTGCTGGCCCAGAAAATCTGGCATCAGCCTTGCCTACTGCTGGAGCTAGCACAAATGGTAGCAACCCAGCTGTCCAAAAGCTCAGAGAACTCATGGAAGATGTTGAAACACTAAAAGTTAGTTTAATATACTGTACTACCATTTTGTTCTCTTAATGCAAAATGTAACATTTGTTTTTTTTTTTTTATTTGCTTAGTATCTTATTTATTCTTTTTTTTTATGGATTGTTTTGTGCTGTACTACAGTAGTGTTATTAAATATCTCTTAAAGGAGTATCTTTAAATTTTGGCTTTAATTAGTATTGTAGATATTTTTTTATTTAAGGGATGATAACTTGAACACTTGAGCAGATGGCCCTCAAACTAGAATCATCTACAGTAGCATAATCAGGTATACACTTGTTTGTCAAAAATTGTAATAGTCTCTTTGAATTTATTAACCCTCGAAACTTGCTGGCTCTAGTGGGAGATGGCTGTTGAGTTATAAACTATTCAGTATTTTTAAAAAAATTTCAAATGTAGTGTACTTTGAGATTTCATTGTTCTTATATAATGCAATTATTTTAAAGATAATTTATTTTTTAATCACTCAGAAATATTTCCATGGGATTAGATACTGTACACACATATTGTGGTCATTGATTGTACTTGCGTAGCTTTATGGCAGTTTAGAAAGGTAATAATTCAATGTGTAATGTGGGAGTCATTGACTAATTTAATTGCTGATACAACTATATGTAGATTTTATTATTTTAAGGTTTTTAACCTATAGCATTTTATATAATTACAGTAGAACCTCGGTACTCGAACATAGTTCCTTCCAGAAGGCTGTTCGAGTGCCGATCTGTTCGAGTATTTAACGAATTCTTCCCAATCAATTTTCTTTTTGATTGGCTGTTATCATTAATCTTCATAGGCCCCACGGTGACTTATTTATACAAATAATATAAAAAATGCAAAGAAACACAAAATAGTTTACAGCGAAGTTCTGGCAGGTCGTGTTTGCTCTGGCTGGTCGGTTTGTGCAGAGCTTTGTTCAGGTAGGGAGCTGTTTGAGTACCAAGGTTCCACTGTAATTTTGTTACAACTCTTAGAATGCTTCATGTCACCAAATCTGGCTTACTAGTCTGGGGGCATCCCATTGCATCCTTTAACTGTAACTGATTTCTATGTGTTGAGATAGCAAGATCATCATCTGAACATGCCAGCCTTCAGATACAAAGGCATGCTGCTGACATCAGTGAAGAATGAACAAGTGCAGAGCAAACTTTTATTGTGATGGCTTTTCAAGTCAGTGATTAGGGTCCACACTGAACAAAATGTCACATTAAAGCTTTCACTGCACATGTCCTTCAATATTCCACTCTTCATCTAACAGCCCAGGATGGAGTAAGGGTTCCTCAGCCATGCCCCTTACTTCTGAATTGAGTCACTTTCCTTGGGAAGCAAGGACATAACTATACTATAATAACATGTATTTGTGGGGTTACTTTCCTGGAGACCTTGAGATTATGAAAGAATCTTTGAAAGTATTCTAAAGTTTGCCAAATTAATATATTTTATCAGCCTTGAAAAGCAAAAACAAAACTTGCATTCCTTGAATTTGTTTTTATGACCCCTGTAAATATCAGTGAATAAGGATGTAATGAATATGACAGTCTTAAAGTATGCATGTTTATTTAATATTTTATGTTGCTTGATAGTTGAGCATCTGACTCGCAGCCGATAAGGTTGAAATTTGATAAATGATCTAGCATTTATTTGATCGTGAAATTATGTACAATAATTCTTAGTGTGTTTGAAATTTTATACAGTTGGATGATTTTCTTTAGGCAGAGAGAGATGCCATTGAGTGTGAATTAAAGAGTGCTACAGTGGACATGAAGGATGTCTTCCTTAATGCCCTTGCTCAAGATGGTACTATTAATGAGACAGCCATTTCTACAGAGAGCCTGGGTCGTGTGTTTGGGCCCCTACAGAAGCAGGTATGATAACAAATCATATTCTCTTATTAAAAATGTTAGTATATAAGATTTTCTTTTGAAGTGCTTTAAGATCAGTATAAACAGTAAGCTGATTGTGCCAGGAGTGCTATAAGTGTGTTTGATACTCAGAGACTTAAGAGTTTGAGCTTGACTTATCTGATAAAGCTGTTAAATAATTTTCAAGATCTTATCTTAAAGGTTTTAGTGATATTAATTTATACCAAGTTTGCTCCATGACTATAGTCATAGAATTGCACAATAATAGAATTTTATTTACTATTTAGTATTATAATTTTTTAGGTTGTGATTATAGATTCATTGTTTAAATAGGCACTTTGTATTTTTTAATTCCCTTTTACCAAGGGGTAAATAATTCTGAAGTATTGGAGCTTTCATTGGATTCCTGTTCGTGTAATAAGAAATTAGAATACATTATTTAAAACCCTCACATTGTGATAGTATGGGATGTGTGGAACTGAAATTTAATGAATCTGATATGAAAGGAGAATTTTTTTCTTTTCCGATGACAGTGCTTTTGGGAGATTAACATGAAAAGCACTAAGGTTGGACGGAGAGTCTGGGATGACATTTCTTCATTTAAGTAATGGTTGAATCTCCAACTGTTTATAAATTAAGTAATACTTTAGTAAAATTATGTGGGAGGCTGTGTTCAGATGTTTAACCCCTTGACTGTCGCAACCCCAAATCCTGAGGTGTCTCCTGGTGTCGCAAAATTTCCCACCCCCAATGATAGAGAATCTTTTCCCGATTGTAATGACACCAAAAGAACGAAATTTGATGGAAAACTGACGGAATTACGCTCTTGTGAAGTTAGTGATCTCTGTGATATTTACGAATTGCGATTTCGCCCACTTTGAGCCCTATTTTCGGCTAATTTCATTGTTCCGGTCAACCAAACTCGTAGCTGTTTCTTTAGAACTCCATTTTTTTTCTATCGACTGAGTACAAGAAACTGCCCATTTACTGATTTCAACTACCCAATAATGTGGTCAGAAATTTGCAATTTGGTCAATTTCACGAAAATTAAAAAATATGACAATTTCAAAATAGGGTCCAGAATGAACAGTGCAGACATTCCTGGCTCTAAAATAACATTTTCTTTGTTCATCAGTCATGTTTCCAGGCCCCTCTTGTATTACTCTTGCTTTCTAGTTTGAATTTTTATTCAAACTAAAAATAGAAGATTTACTGTTAGGCTGACTACTGCAATATTGTAATAATTGTATAAATAATGTCAACCCATTCATGACTGTATATTAGAATGGCTAGTTGGACATTTATTGGAAAATGACATCATTTGTTTACTTCTGAACATCAGCAAAAATCAAACATTTCCCTTACTTTGAGCTCCATTTCAAGGTTCTTTTCATACTAAAAGCAATCAAAATCACCTCCATTTCTATAATATGTTTCCCATTCTATCAAATGAGACCAAGAAAATGATAATACAACCATAAATACTATACGAAAATAGACCACAAAGTCAGCATTTTAATTAAAAAAACGGTTGGAGTTTTTTTTTCTCGTTATGCACTGCATGCTGCAGGATTTTTTTTATATGGTGCACACTGACCACACAGACCCATTCTCTCACATGTGGGCCTACCAGCTTTCTCCTGCTTGATTTGAAGCCGCTAGAATTTGAGTACATATATATACGTCAAAAACAGTGGCTCGTAAGACGTATATATACGACCAAAACGGTCAAAGGGTTAAGGAGCTACTGACTCTAGCTTTGGCTTCCTATAATATTAACAGATCAGGTTTCAGTATGTAACTTCATTACGTATCTGAATTGTCTGTATAACTTTTATGTTGTATGATCTATGCATGAGGGGCCTATGACGTTTTTACTAGAAGAAAAAGTAACACCCACACGTTTTGACTGAACTGAAGCCAACGTCAGCAGGAAAACAGCAAGCTTACACATCCTGTCTCAAAATGTCTGTATTCATAATGTAATGGGTAGCACCTGGCAAGAGACTTGCCCATACAAAACATCTCTTTAAATACACTGTTCATTATCAGTTACATATTCAACAACTTTAGAAATACAGCTAGAGTAGATTCATCAATGTTAAAGGCATGATGGGATTGTGTAATTACAATGTTATTATAATGACAGTGCTGTTTCTTACGCCTAGCGCCCCAAACGTATATGTACGTTTTAATTTTCCTGCCTCCAAATTTGGCACGATTGGCCTGAGATGCCTGGTCAGCATAGAATAGGTCTTAACACTCGTGTGCCCATTATTAAAAAAAATCTGGGACCACTTAGTACCTTGTGGGAGGGCCAGTTAAATTGAGCCCCAGCTAGAGCAAACAGTGTGGCAAACACCAACGATTCACTGATGCAATGTCATATTAACACTCCTCTTTTAAGAGGAAAGTGATGTTAACCCCAAGTTTAGGGTCTGTCGATCTGTCTCTGTATATCTCTGTCTCGCAGGTACACATAAATACAAGTATACGTAGTATAAATTACCTAGGATAAACCAAAAAATCCAGACAAAGTGCTATACTTTGCTTGAAGATGTGAGTACACGTGATGATGCAGTCTTGTGGCTCTCTGAGACAGTGAGTTAGACAGATAGACAGGGAGCTTGACAGACAGACAAATAGACATGTTTGTGTCCCAGTGAAAACAAAGCAAGGGCTGATGCTCATCAAATGTCACCTCTAATCTTTTCTTATCTGCTGCACCCTCCCTCACCCTCGTGTATGCTCATCAAACGTCAGCTCTTATCAAATGTTATCTCGTCTTATCGTGTCACTGTCAGGGGTGGACTTTGTTTTTCGTGCTTCAAGGGAACTTATTATTACTTGAGTCCTGGAAATGGGAAGTACAATGCCTGCACTTTAAAGGAGGGGTTTGGGATATTGGCAGTTTGGAGGGATATGTTGTGTATCTTTATATGTGTATGCTTCTAAACTGTTGTATTCTGAGCACCTCTGCAAAAACAGTGATAATGTGTGAGTGTGGTGAAAGTGTTGAATGATGATGAAAGTATTTTCTTTTTGGGGATTTTCTTTCTTTTTTGAGTCACCCTGCCTCGGTGGGAGACGGCCGACTTGTTGAAAAAAAAAAAAATCTTCTCCTCCTCTTCCTCCTCCTCCTCATTATTATTATATACTTCCACATATCCAAAACATTGCTTGGACCTATAAATATTTTGTATATATTCCAAGACAAATAACCAAGGCAGGTATAAATGTCAACCTGTCAATGTGTTTGTGACAATTTGAGTACAATTTCAGTACTAGTGTCAGAGCAAAGATTGGTTATGAAATGACAAGAACTACTATAAATTGTTATTATCAGAACAAAAAAATTACATAAAATATGAAAAATAGAAAACAAGGTATACAGTGGAACCTCAAATATAGAACTTTCTTTGGTCCGGAAGGCTGTTCAAGTGTCGCTACCGAACGAATTTATTCCCATCAGGAATAATGTAAATTAGATTAGTCCATTTCAGACCCTCAAAAATACACTTATAAAAGCACTTACAAAAATACACTTACATAATTGGTTGAGTTGGGAGCAGTTCGATTTTTGAGGTTCCACTGTATTGGCAACACTTCTGCAAGCGGCAGGACTCCATGTTGCCGTCACGTGAGCATCCAGTGCCAAATTCTCGGCCTCATATCTCTGTAAGTACTAACCTAATTTTTTTTTATTTTAAAACACTTAAAAAAATGTGCTCTTTTTTTCTATATTTTTTTTTTTTCCCAAAAAAATATTCGGGGCGCTACACGAGTGAACGTATATACATGTTTGGACCGTTTAAGGGTTAAATTGATCATATTATGATGCTGGAAAGTACAGTGCCTGTACTCTGAAAGGGGCAGAGATGTTGTAGTTTCAGGGGGTTATTTGAATTGTGATGTCTTTGCTTATCTGACAAGAGAGCTGTTGGATGAATGATATGTCCTTCATTTTTTTATTTTATTTATTAACACATTGGCCGATTCCCACCAAGGCAGGGTGGCCCGAAAAAGAAAAACTTCAATCATTCACTCCATCACTGTCTTGCCAGAGGGGGACTTTACACTACAGTTATAAAACTGCAACATTAACACCCCACCTCCAGAGTGTAGACGCTGTACTTCCCATCTCCAGGACTCAAGTCCGGCCTGCCGGTTTCCCTGAATCCCTTAATAAATGTTACTTTGCTCACACTCCAACAGCATGTCAAGTATTAAAAACCATTTGTCTCCATTCACTCCTGTCAAATACACTCAGGCATGCTTGCTGGAAGTCCAAGCCCCTCACACACAAAACCTCGTTTACCCCCTCCCTCCAACCCTTTCTAGGCCAACCCCTACCCCACCTTCCCTCCACTACAGATTTATACACTCGAAGTCATTCCGTTTTGTTCCATTCTCTCTACATGCCCGAACTACCTCAACAACCCCGCCTCAGCCCTCTGGATAATAGTTTTGGTAATCCCACACATTCTCCTAATTTCCAAACTACGAATTCTCTGCATTATATTCACACCACATGTTGCCCTCACGACATGACATCTCCACTGCCTCCAGCCTTCTCCTCGTTGCAACATTCATCACCCATGCTTCACACCCATACAAGTGTTGGTACAACTATACTCTCATACATTCCCCTCTTTGCTTCCACGGACAAAGTTCTTTGTCTCCACAGACTCCTAAGTGCACCACTCGCCCTTTTTCCCCTCATCAATTCTGTGATTCACCTCATCCTTCATAGACCCATCTGCTGATACGTCCACTCCTAAATATCTGAATACATTCACCACCTCCATACTCTCTCCCCCCAATCTGATACCTAATCTTTCGTCACCTAATCTTTGTTATCCTCATAACCTTACTCTTTCCTATATTCACTTTTAATTTTCTTCTTTTACATACCGTACCAAATTCATTCACCAACTTCTCTTCAGAATCTCCCAAAAGCACCGTGTCATCAGCAAAGAACAACTGTGACAACTCCCACTTTGTTTGATTCTTTATCTTTTAACTCCACACCTCTT